GGGGGGGGGGAGAGAGAAGACAAAAAGATGTAAACCAGAGGCACGAGAATACCAAAGGACCTCAAATAAGCAACAGTGAAGAAATGCTTCGTAAAGTAGAAACCATCCACGTGAGACGTCTCTAAAGTCAAGATGGTTAGTGAGTCATTAGGTAAGCTGTGGAAGGTGACGAACTCGCGTGATCCGATCCACCAGGCAAAGATACAGTGGGGAAATAAAAAGACCACGTAAGTGGTGGTTGCGGTCAAACGTTTGATCTCATAAGTGGTTTTTCTACAAAAAACTAAATGAAGACAAGCACTATACTCTACTGTAGACGGTTGCTTACTGGAAAAACATCTGGAGGACTACCTCTGAACATAAAGTGGTTTTAAATGCATGATACAGAGTGGAGTATGGAGAATTGAACGACGCACTCTGATTACATTGAGTGAAGGCAAGCAAGTTAATCTCACTAACCTAGTAACGAGACCATCCGCAGTGGATGTGGCGAGGAGAGTTGATCCGGACCCAGAGGGAATCGAGGTATGGTGCGCACCACCTCTTGTCGACGTGTAACCTGTCCGCTTGCGTTTGACGGCAGTGCTCGTAGATTGTGGAAGCAATGTGGAATCGGAGCCAGCTATGTGGAGGAATACACAGAAAAAGTCAAAATGAGATGAACACCTATAAGGTAAACAGGTCCACTCCTGCAGTCACGTGTTAGGAATAAGCGTACAATGCACGCTACGCCCATGCCCGTAGTCGGTCAAGCGACTACTACATCCCTATAATAAACGGCAGTACCAAGCGCTTACACTAGTGTCTCACTTCCATCAAATGGTGGTTGAGCTTTAGTTGGCCGACCCGATGGCGCCGCTCCACTGACATGCAACCTATCTTTCGCCGGCCTCGGAAGAGTACGTTTTCTCAACTACACACCTCGACCGGACAAGGAAACCGACAAACAAACATGTGTATATTTTGGTTATTATTGTCATAGCACCAAACGAGGACCCATCAGTCGTACGCGTGTCCCTTAACGTGAGTAAAAGCTCAGATGGAAGACTCTTAGTCTCACTCTTCAGTCTCCTTACTGTGCAAATTAGAGTGCCATCAATTGCGGTGTTGCCAGCAAACCTCTTACTTTTCCCAATAGGGCAGGAAGAGCAACAAGGGCATTGCAGATCTCAGCACATTCAACCAGGTACTGTCGATTTATTCCGTCTTTATTCGGAATCTTCAGCGTCCATCTCGGTGAGATTTGAAACCATCTGATTGCTAATTGGAGGCTACGCTGTTCGGTAACGCGTGCGTATTGCCCAGTAAGGCAATCGACTTGATCTGGCTTTGATGCCTACTTCGCTAGTTTCTTCAGGTTTCTTCCTTAATGAAGACAAACAAGTGTGGTTGAAAATTGAATTAACGTGTTTTTCACAGAATCAGTGCTGTACCAATCTATCCTCATACAAAAACTCCCCTATTCATTGATTTGATCGATAATACGCCTCGAGGGAGCAGTGAAGTGGAGCACCGCAACTTACGTAACGACAGGTCCGAATCACGAGCATGGCGTTTCCCCCTGCCCCGACCGGATCCCGGTGGCCGACCGACGGAACCATGGGCACCTGATCCTACGCCATGCAGACCGCTTGTACCGACAGTTTCATGTGGACCAGGAAGAGCAACCCCTTCTGCCGAGTCAGGATCGAGAGTAGTCCGATAGGCGTGCAAACTTGCCCACTCGTCACCCGTGGAGTTTGGAAAGACCTGAGAAAAGGAATAGACGACTTGATAGCGACAGAGAGCCCAGGTGAGAGTCCAAATCGTATTGGAAAGGAACGGACGAAAAAAAGGTATCAAGGACGTGTCCGCTCACTCACTCGGCCCAAATATTCTGACAGACTCTTTTTGTCTTGCCGGAGAAGTTTGTTGGAGAATTCGGAAACGATTTCAAGGAATATGAGATTTGGTGGAACCGTTGTTGCTGAAGGTTGTCCACCGGTTGCTGCTGTTGCGGCCGCCACACAAAACTGAATACCCTCGGAGTGAAACGCAACCATCGCTTCACGAATTTTAACCAAATCGAGGCCGAAACTGAGATTCAACCTGCGTGCCAGCTCCTTTACAGCTTGCAAGCCCTCGGATCTGCGTTCGATATTATGCTAAAAGAGCCAGGGATAGGAGATTACGCGATGAGCTATATTGTAAGCATGGAGAAGGAGAACAGTACCACAAGGTTGGGCTGACAGAAGCTAGTTGGAACGCCAGTTTACAGAACAATGTAAAGTGGAAAGAAGGCATCGATCGAGGTTTTCCTCAAAGTCGCCTGATCTGATAAATGGGCCGAATCAAATCGGTCACTGACATTGATCAGAGGCGAGCCTCCTCCGAGTGTGCAGGTGCTGAAAAAAACTTCAAAAGAACTGACGAACGAGTCATTCAATATTCTATACATTTCCACCTTCGTTCGCGTCGTTCAAGATACTCGACAGTGGAGAGAGTTTGATCGTAAGTTATTGAGCGGTACTCGATTAGGAATTCTCTATCAATTTTTCAATGACGTCGCGTGAAGGAAGTAAGATCGGCGGTGGCGAGATTTGCGTCTCGAGTGTGCACTTGAGGTCATCGTTCCTAGTTGACTGTTTAGTTCGTTGATGGGCGCTGGGTTTGTGTTGGGTACGGTTTACAAGAGACCCTGGGTCCAATTCTCTGCGGTGACACCATACTCCAACAGGATTTCCAGATATTATCTGTTGGCCTTGTTTGAGGATATAGACACAAGTAGCTGAGCAATTCCTCATCTCGAACTGAGTTCCCACCTTTCACTAAGCTTTCCACGAGTTCGTTCGCTCTTGATAGTGTGGTGGCAACGGAGCATTGGTATGTAGTACGAATTGTTGCCGTCGACGATGACAGGGACGAGTGCATTCACTAACTTAAAAATTACGGATTAGTGAACGTGTGACGCACCGCACCCGGACCTAAATGCTTTGTACGAACAGAGAATAAACCAAGTCCCAGGACCTCTATAAGTGCTTACATAATTTCGCCGAGCACGGAGACGAAATAGAGTAATGGGTTTTCAGCAGTGAAACAGTGATAGCCAATTTGGTATGTTTCATAGTCTTTGATAGCGTGGGACTACCAATATCACATACCATCACACCAACATACGCCAGTGGACTGCAATACGAGATCGTGCATAATCAAGCCACGCGCACGAGCGAATATGGACAGATAAGCATGAATCGACCGGACCGAACAGATCGTGAAAATAGCAGATCAAATCCTCCGTATGAGGTTAGTCGCCTCCGGCTGAAGACCACGTGGCGCGAGCTAGGGCTAACAGAACTAGTAGGCGCTAAAACCTCCAGTACAACATAGTAAGATACAACTGCCTACAATTCTTCATATTTCAACCGCAAATGAACATAGGTATAATCACGCAAGCCGATAACTCACATTCGAAGCGGCTTCAACTTCTGTATAGCAAAGCTGAAGACAGTGAGCAATCATTCGGGCTGTATGAACTCGGTTGAGTTCACGAGCTTTGGCCAATGTAGATTTCATTATGTCTCCAAAATCGTTGAATGATCGAATGTAGTATTTGTAGAGAGGAGCGGCAGCCCGAATGGGAACGATGTTGTAAATGACCAGTTTACAAAACGCCGCCAATTGGGTTCGACGTTCGTGTAGTGCTTCAAACTTTGTATTTTCATCTTCGTCTTCTTGGTCCTGTCAATAAGTAAAATGAGTACAGGTAAAATACTGAAAATGAATGGACAGCTTGAACCACGAAAAACTAGTGAATCTAACTGGGATCATTTACGTACATGATGAGCAGTACAATGGCGCAACGAACTCAGCTGACTAGAAGTGACGGCAAACCATCATAGTCTTAACTGGAACAAAAACGAAGTTCACTGCTGTCCTTTTGGTTTGAACCCATGAGAGTAACTGCATCAAAGTCAGTTACCCAAACGGAAGTAATGTGTGGGGGGAAAATGAAGCACCCAAGTCCTATTAGCATAAAAAAGGAGCAATATGATAAACGACCACTTACGTCATCGTCGACAAACACTCTGCGTTCTAGATAGTTGGTCAACTTGAGCTCCAACTCACGATCAGCCACGTAGACCAGGGATTGAAGGTTGGGAGGACGCACAGCCAAATGGCGGCAAAGGACCACCAGCAAATCACAGATTGAGAGATAAGCATCGTAACTGAGTCGCTTAGAAGGATGATCCAGATAGCCGATAGAGAGCTCCATGAATAGACTGATCATCCGACGAACCTTGCTGATCTCACCCTATATAGGTGGAGAATAAGCGAACCGGCATGAGATGAGAGAATAAGCGATGGCAAACAAATGCAAGACAGACATGTTCGGTAAACAATATACGAGAGAATCAACACCTGACCATATACCTTATCAGTATCCGATTCAGTTAGTCGGGCAATGCTCCAATAGATGGCATGACAGCAACATGCAATCGCCTGACCGACGATTTCTCCGCTAGCCTCATCTCGCGCCTGCGCCACGCGAATGAGACTGTCCCACAAATCTAGTCCGGACAAATCGTGACACCTGTACACGAGAGACATAGGGCGGAAGTTGTGATCAGTAAGACGGCAGATTGCACAGGTAGAGAATAATAATGAATGTGTTAAACTGAAAAAATAGGATCAAGGAACATATCTTTACATCCCAACAGATTCTTGAGTAGGGACATTGCGACCAACAACGGTCTTTTGCTTGTCGTAAGGGGTCAGTTCGACTTCGCTGACCGTGGGACACTACAGCTGTCTATTAACCACAGATGTCTTCCTAGACAAGGCCAAATCGCTCTTGGGCATCCCTTCAATGCATAGTTTTCCTCCCAATCTCCCCAATGAAAACTCCACTAGCAACCCTGAATTCACGTTATACAATCACAAAGCGTAAAATACTGCTGTTGGAGCGGAATTCCGCCTAACACTAACCGAGGTCAATCATGATGGCCAAGCTACAGATAATATATTGACACTTGGACAGGGAGGGTTAGGGAGGACAGTGGCAAGACGCGGTTCATGCACGCAATATTTTATATTAAAAGTCAAGTTATGCCTTTATAGTACTCCCCATATTTTGATGTTGCACTATTTGTCAGATGTCGGTATTGAAATTGCAAGAAAAAGCAAGTTGCGATGTGGTGTAATCATTAGGCACGCTGGGATATAATAAATGAACGCCACATTCAAAAACTTACACATAGAACGCGTATATCCGCTTCAGTGCAATCAGCAGATGAAATTCATCCTCCTGGTCAGGTGGTTCACCCTGCATGTAAAGATGGCAAAACCGAGGATAAGTCATGAATTGGGGAGAGATCGAAAGATGATGTTGTCAGGAAAAAGGGATTTGGTTCGCGGGATTCGAAGATGGATTTGGTTCGGTCGCATACAACCGTGAGCCAATGACCAAAAGGTTGTCTATACACATTTTATTTTGACCCCTATGGGGTAAGAACCGACAACCTCATCTTGGCGTCTCACTTTATCAATTACCAGAGCTCACTCAAGTTGTTGACCTACCTGATCGTTGAAGTAGTTCAGAAATGAGTTTCGGTAGACGTCAGTGAGTCGATCCAGCAAAGTTCCACGGACAGTTTGGCACTTGGCTGCAACGCTGAGCTCGTCGGCACACAAGGTTTCATAGAGACGAGAACAGGCCAGCAAAGTGGCGGGGTCAGTATGCCGATCGACAAGGTCCTTAAAATATAAGGAAAATGGAACATGTGGTTAAAAGACTTCTATATCCCGTCCAACTACGGACATGAGATCAACTTATCAACTATGCGCCAAGAGTACGTCGATTTAGATGCTACAATCCGGATCACAAAAAAGAGAACCAGGCGATTTATAGCCAAACATTGGAGGTGATCGTACTGAAGTCTGATCAGCTGAAGAAACAGGATATTGCCACAAAACTGTACGCTTGTGGCCTCAGTGATACACAAACCAAAACTGATTCATAACCAGGTAAGCCTTCATTTATAATTTAGGCGTTGTTGTACGTTCCCACTGAGATGCACGGAAAAGACGAAAATAAAGCGGAATATGGAATGACAACGAAACAGACAATCGAACCCAGTTGAACCGGACCCCGATGGGGGTTCCAGAGGTGCAGACAACTACCAGAGGTACTGAGTTTACCAGCTTTGGGTTTCATGCTGCTTTATCATCAGCATCAATAGCCCAACACCAGTGTTACACAACGGAGCTATGTTGCGTTGCGAAGTTATAACCTTATCTCTCACGTACGCTCTCTACTTTGCACAACAGTGGGTGAAAAGTGCATCTAGCAGAATGTTACACGTTTACCTCTAACGCGTAGATCACTTTTGAAAAGCATTCGACACACTTTTGCATTCCTAATTCGATATCTCCATCGGGTTCGGGCGATCCTTTAAGGACATCGAGGATGGGTGCCCGATCCGCGTCAGTACAGGACGCATTGTATAATTCTGTGGACCAAATCGCTCGTTGGTATATTGTCATCACAGATTCAGAACAGTCCCGGGATTTTGTATCCGAAGATTTGCATCATTTCTAGCTAAATCATGGGAAACACTTGATCCAGCTAGATAGTGGCGGCGGATCAACGGAAATCTAAGGAAACAAGTGAAGGCCCTTAATAATCCGTTCGGTTTGGTTGCACCAAATGATGGAGCATGTGCTGGGCAATCTTTGAAATCATAATCGAAACTGTGGCGTGTTGCGCGATTACCTACGTTGCAGAAGTTTTTCTGCACGATAAACCGTTCTGCCATACTCCATAGTATGACATACAGGCTTCAAATAGTAGAACGGACTCCAAAATATCGAAATCCTTTGAAGAACATACACTAATGGAAGTGAATACAGATTTCCTGGTTACGCGATTTGAGAAACAGCCAACTCGTATTCCAAAACGAATTTGTTGGTCAGCTGAAGAGTGCAGTTGGAAGTCGGGGACGACCAATGTCCCGCTATTGAGGCAATCTGTAGATGAGTCTGAAAAACTGAATCCTGTTTCCAGTTATGGGAAGACCTGGCACTCGACAAAACATCTGTCTAGACGGAACCGAGAAACAATGCGCTGCAATGCTGCACAAAAAGCCAGGCATTCGGAAGCGACTGAGTCTCTCAATGCAGTCTCATTTGCACAGCGTACGGACGCCCGCGCCTATGTAGGATTCGCCTTGCAGGCAACCAGCGTGCCGCGTTCACCGGTTCGTCTGATAAATCTAACTTCGTGGAAGTCACGTGAGTTTGTCCCACTGGCTAATGACTACGCGCCCGATGTTTTCATCCTAAAGATGACATTGTCAACTGTATGGCTGGTGGAATACGGACTATTCATTAAGATCTTGACCGTACGTTACCCGGCAGCTCCCCGCGTGGAGATGCTAAAATTGTTACGCCACCATGTTTAGACAGGGCGATACATTGCAATAACCTCTGCACACACACCCGTCGATGTTATTCCATCATGTATACATCAGCACCAAACGCTTGCATGCAGCACTAAATTCTGCTCAGTACAAATTATCCGAGGCTCTCCTACTACGCGCAGAGATCCGTGTGCAAACCACGACAAACGAAGCAACTTGTCAGCTAAAAAATCTGGCATTCATACCAACTCGTTCATCTGTAGCACCCTTTCGTTGCTTAACTGCCATGCCGCCCGAAGGTTGCACGACGGCTGGGATACTGTCAGGTTGCCCAAGCCTAGACAGGAGAAGTCGAGAGGCAGAGGTCGGGCTCGAACCACGGACCAACTGGTAAGTTGGTGAGAACAGTGAGCCAAACAACACACTTGAAAAGCAATATCTTACTTGAACAGCCTGCAGCAAGAGATCCAAATGTCTTTCATGTCGACCGGAGGTGTACAGTTCTATTTCCATATACCGCGGAATAGTCAACAAGTTTTCTGCACGTTCGGGTGACTCTCCATACTTGGTGAGAAGAGCAGGCAAGGCCGTTATCATAGCCTCCGTCATACGGGCCTTTTCTTCGGCTATAGCACGAGCCTCGCGAGCAGACGGAGCTGGTCCACCAGGGCCCCCAGCTCCCCGACCACGTCCCAAAGGATCGTTTGCTGACGGTCCGCCGGTAAGCGCAGTAGAATGAGAGTGGTGTGCGCCAGTCTGGAAGTGAGAGGAAAATGATGTGTACGGACGACACGCCTATGTGTGGGATGGAAAAACGTTATTGACAAGAAAGACAACACACTTGCCGTCCGACTGGGGGCTCTCCAGTTGCAGCCTGCCGGACACAGCAAACCATGATCTCTATTAGGCTGGTTTCCTGGTTGGCGTCCATAGGCTCTTCGCCACGACCAGGCTCCTCTAACAGCAAGTCTAACATTGCCTCCCAATCTCGAAGCATTGGACTAAGATCCCATAAACTGTCCACAAGATACGCCGCATGTTCGTGGAGCTGCAAACAGAGAATACAACACAACAAGACGTTGGTAAAAAAAATCCCACGCTGTATGGAGCGGTAATCAGAAGACAAATTCATAAGCAGCTGTAGACAAACCCACCTCACTCTCAATAAAGAATTGAACAAGGTCACGGATGAGCGGAGTGTTTGAACTGCGGCGTTTGCCCTTCTTTGTTTTCGTTGGAGGGGCATGTGAGTCCACCTCGAACAGCTTGAGGGTCAGAAATTCCCCGGCAGCTTGTGCTAGAGGGCGGTGCGTACAGTAGACGAGTTCATAGATATTCTCACAATCCTTATCTTCCAGAACTGAGTCGTTGTGTCTAGAACGATTCGAAAGGAATGCGAGATGATGAGAATGACATCAAGGTCAGACTGTTTGGGCTAGTTTACTAGCCTTTGACATCTAGCGAACAAACCATCAACGACGGCAGTCAGGACCGTCATCAATGAAGGCACGTGTGTGGATCACAATAGAAGCTACTTAGTAATGCACCTAATTCTCTTGGGAAGCCAATCATCATCGTCATCATCACCATTGTCAGCTGTAAGAACGGCGTACTTGTCGTACAGTGGTTGTAGCTGCCAGTCGTCCACCGATGATTTGGGGAGGTGGGGTAGATAGCTGCGGATTGAAGGCGGGAACTGATAAATTGGTGCGTAAATACGGCACTACCAGTGGACTTTTAAGTGAGGGATTGGGAAGGGAGCTATGCATTGAAGGCAATAGCTTGGATGCGCGAGTGCCATTGAAGGCGCAACTGGACTGTGTCTGGCAATCGTTAAACACGAAACCACAGGAGCAAAAAACAGTAATGAAGATAAAGTACTGCGAAGCACATAACATTCCTGCATACTGACAACTTTTGCAGTCGCTTTATGTCACCTAGTCCTCTATGACAAAGGATCCCAATGCCGGGGCATTCCATAAAATGTCAGTGAGAATAAAATGCGTGCACAGAAACGTGGGGGCAAGATAAAGATGCTCTGGAACTAGGGATTATACGATCTAAATTGAGTAGCACCATACTCCGATTAGATACCGTTCGCATTGTACCAGAATGCACTTTCTCCGGTTTTTTTTTTCACTAAAAGGGACCTAGGTGGATCCTGTGATGGCTGCCACACGATCAAAGAAAACCAAACACTGAGGATCTTCAGGGTTGTGCTGAGAGTTGAGCCCGCACTGGATCAAGTATTAGACGATAGCAAATGACATACACCCAAGCGACCGAAACAGATGGACCGACATGGTCAAAATACCAGGTACAGCATCTCTGGCGAAAAAGTACTGACCAAGCCAGAGAGGTGCAAAATCCACGGGTGCCGCATAACTCATTCTGTTGCAGATTTCGAGAAGAGAACTAAAATGGGAGTGGAGGGTGGGTGTCCAGCGTTTCAAAAATAAACAAATGGCTCCTCAAAACAGAGGGCGCTTGCGTGAAAACTTAATCACTCCCCACATCTGGATTACGAGGCAGATCACGCATACATACCACCACGCAGGCGATGAATGAGTAACACAGCTAGTAGTCGGAACTAAGCGATTTGGATGGCGCAGCGTTATATTTATGCAACCTTGATCGAAGAGTGATCAAGTGGAAGTCTGTTGGGCTTTGAATGCCCTATCTCTCCCATTCTGATCTTAACAACTGTGTAGGATACGTGTTTACACGGCACTGTAGACAGGCCAACCTTTAAACTTCCCACGTTTGCAAATGACAACAATGGGGCATAGGAAATGATTGCATAATTGAACTTACTTTAGTATACAAGAGACCAATTTGACCGCCTGCACAGCTACGTCCGTTTCCTTATCCAAAGTCATATCGACAAGGCGTGACTTGAAGCGCGAAGTGAATAGCTCTAAGCTATTCACTAGAGCGGGATCTTCGTACAGCGGTTGCAAGGCACGGAGACATTGTACACGTACCTCACCGACCCGGTCGAATAAAGTCCAGCCAACGTATTTCAGATAGCTATCATCCAAAAACATCGCAGGGTACCTCCGCATCCAGACGCCGATTTCTTGCATACAGATGGATCGAATTTCGGGATGACTATCACTAAACACATGTATGTAAGAGAAGTAAGCAGTTGTCAGAATCCGGATAACTGACATGGCATAGAATAAGCTACTTCGTGACACGTAAAATCACGTCATTCACTTACTGAACTTACATCCACTTTAAAAAACACGGAGGGGCAGATCCATCTACCAGCTATTTACCTCTTAGGTTGTCACTTACTAATGAACTTATAGAGTAGGAAAAAGTGCAGTGACATAAGGAAATAATTTCCGGAAAACCACAGCTATCGAACAAACTAACGCATACCATCTTGGAGACGATGATGAGTATCGAAAGATGAAGCGGCTATCATCGCGTGCACACCTTTGTCACTGTACACTCTATCCCTCGAAATCTTATGGATTCCCTCAACGTCATCCGTCAAAACCAGCTACCGAGAAACCACCACTCTGACTGTTGGGAGTTACCCGGGGATGATTTCATCCATCTTACACAAGCGACTCATTTGAAGATTTTTCAAAAATTGATGGGACTCCTTGACCGCAATTAGGTCAATTTATTTTAGACCCCCAAGGGCCTGAATAATCTAGTTAGCGTAGAACATGTTTCGACGGTAGGTATTAGGTGGACTTAGCATTCGAATACCTTATTTGGTGCACACTGCAAAATACAAGGTGACTCACCGGTACCGATGGACAAACACACCCTTGAACAGATAGATGAGCATGTTTTTAACCTCTTCCATGTTTTCCTCTAGCTCCTGTCGTCGCTGCATCAGCACATCCAGCCGGTCTGACGCACGACGATTGACCATTTTTGCACGCTCGGCTTCGTACTGGCGTTGGGTATTATCACGGTTGATGCTCACATTCAGGGCCACGTCTACGAGAGCTGTCATCATTTTCATCGCTGCCAGAGTGCTCGTGTGGCGGAATGCCCGCACCTAGTTGCAAACCAGATAATACAAACGGGAAATATACATGCGTTACTTCCTGTATTCAAGTAGTGTAAATTAGACGAAAAAACATGCAAAACGGGTACCACAGAATGGGGCAAAGCAAAGTAGTGGGTCCGTTCGCTCACAGCCTAGACATTTAGTTAGAACCACAAGGCAACAGCGAGGAATTGTGTCTTGACTTTCAAGTCCTGTGGTACCGTTGGATCACCAAGGTTGTCAGACCACTAAGAGAGCTCAAATCAGGGCAATAACAGGGAAACCATAAAAGAAAGTACTATGCGCAAAGCCAAGATTCCAAAGAGGCGGTAACGTCGGTGAAGAGGACCGGTGGTGGCGATTCTAAGTAAAAATCTAGGGGTATGATGGAACAGTGGTCAGCAAGTGTGTTTGAAGGGATACGTAAGTTGTAATGTAAGGCGAAAAAGGAAGATATAATGCTGACCTTGATCGTCAACTAAGAGGCATCATCACCAAAGAACGGATGTGCGATGAAACTTCAGAACTCGGTGTAGTAACGGTATTTTCCTCAGCTTAGTTCTCGGTCTGAGCCTCCCAAGCTAGCGTTCACGTCAAAACAACCACAAAAGGTGCACAAGGTCTATTAACGCCCAAAACGAAGTCAAGAACAGTTGTACAGCGCTTCGTATATATAGCGTAAGCGGTTATACCTTTGTGGAATTTCTGACGTGTTCTGGATGTGCCATTGGCAACCAGCATTTGGCCAATACTAGGTCATGATTGGCTGTTGGGTCCAGATTGTTGACCAATCAGACCTCGCCTTGATGCCGGACCGGCAAGCGTCCCGAATTCTGGGCCAGCCTCGAGCGTGCCAGGCTTCTCGGCCGTAGCGGCGCCTAAAGACGTGCGGTATAGTGGGATCCGCGTGGATTCCTGCCTAACACTCGGTGATCAAAATAATGTATTTGAGCGCAGTTAACAATGGACGAACGAAACCAAACGACAATGAAGTACTGAACGAAGTATGTGAAATCCAGACGAGTTAGGAATATGGGACCACCTGGGATCAAATAAATAAAGCCGTATATTCATAGTAGTTCGTCTGGGAGCTACTATCCAAATAAGACTAGTTGAGTCTGGTTCTGAGACTCGGGATACCATCTCCGAACTGCCAACCCAGTGGTTTCCGAGACTCGCGAGCTCACAACCAGGATGAAAATCCACTAACTAGCGTTCTCGAGAGTTCTGTACCAAGCAGCTTTTGACAAACAGCAAGGGATATGGTTGTTCACGATGTGATCAGATGCCCCATACGACCATATCAATGTCATCCTTCATGAGACAAAAGATGCTGTTCTCTGGTCGACACTAAACGTCAGTTAATAGCGTAATAGAGGGACCGAAGGCGGTCCCTTCTGAAGGTGGTTAATTTTAAGTCATTACTACTGCTGTCCATAATGATGAGGCTGGAACAATTAACATGGCGTACAAAAAGCGATAGCTAAGGGCAGAACGAGATCATTACTCTCAGAAACAACTCCAAGGGAGGACAAGCATAACAACATAAGTCTGCGAAATATATCAGCCAAATAAATTAATGTAATCAGTTCGAGTGATGAAACCACCTGCCGTACCTGAGAGTCGGTCAGACCCGTAAGTAAGGATATCACTTGGTCAATCATACACTGATCGTAGATAATGCTGTATTGACACTGGCGGATAAGGACTTGAATGAACTCGACGAAGTTGGAGCGGAACCGGCGCCAAGTTGGACTTGTTTGGATGAGGGGATAGTCTCCGGAGTCTTCATCAAACTCCTCTGTCATACGACGAATAATATCAGCATGACTGGTCTGGCTGTACATCTCGGGGGTCACTTTGCCTGCAAAGAATGAATCAAAGGAATAAACTATAAATTTGATTTCAACTGATGGAAATAATGAAAATACTTTAATTGGAGTTACGAACAGAAGTCAGCCTATCCGATGCACCCTCTCACCAAACGCTTGCTTACTGTCTCCCTTCGCCGTCGTTCAACCGTAGCAACCTTTCGGTGCCTAGCTGTCAACCCAACGGAAAGAGGCCAGGTTTCTCAACCGTAGACAGGTGCAGTCGAGATGCCCAGTTTGAGTTCGAACCAGGGACCCTCCTGTCCCTAAGCTGGCGCATTAACCACTGAGCTATGCGGAGCTCGATATCTCCGTTGACACGCGAATAACCTTTTTGCTAACTCCAATTTGAAGGACGGTAAACATCCACTTTGTCAGGATCACTCCGAATGAACAATTTCAGAGGGTTTCGAATAAACTTATATAATCAACCGAAAAACGTCTGCAGAGTAGGAATATGAGGACCGGCAGCTAAGTTGAAGGCATCGAATGAGGATTGGGCCTGGCTTGTTGAAAACTGCGACTCCATATAATCAGTCACTCGGATCACTTTTAGCATTTGTATCTTGAAGGTGGGAAAAAGCTTACACCGTTTGGCGAAGAAAGTTGATAGTAAGCTTGGAAATCGTATCGTCTGTGGTGATTACCCCGTACCCATACTTCCGTCATACTTTGCATGGATTGAAAATGAGGATAGAGAATAAACATCCTTTATTTGCATGCATCGGGCGGAGGTATCGTCTTTCTCCAGAAAAAACCTGAGGGAGAGAAAACTAATGCATTTCCGCAGAGTGGCAAAACGCTACTGCCAAATGAGAGGCGGGGCGAGATGGCTCAGATGGTTAGAGCGCCAATTTACTGACCGGAAAGTCCGTGGCTAGAAAACTATCTCTGCCTCTCGACTTCCCCTGTTTAGGCTTAGGCCAACCTGGCAGTATCTAAACCCTCGTGCTTCCTTCGGGTGGCACGGCAGCTAGACACCGGAAGGGTGTTTTACAGCTGAACGGGGAGAGAAGTGAGAGGCTGATTAACTGACCTGGATGTTGTGGTCAAAAATAATTGATGAAAAACTTGCCTTTGCAACCGCTGCAGGAGATAAAGAACTGTATGAGTTCGAGCATGGCAGGTTCACGGCTGGTTTTGTACTGCTCAATCCAGTCGTCCACTATCGTCTGAGGAGCCACGCGACATGATCGGACAGCGCCATAGAGGGTATGTTCCTCTTCTTCGAGTCCAGGACCCCCACCGCCTAAATAAAAAACAGGAAGATAGCGTTGAAAGCAGGGATCCGAACACTGTGTCTGGAAATGAACACAACAATGAAGTGATTTATAATTTAGAGCAAAGTTCAAAGTTCTAAGGTGACATGCAAGCGCTTCTTCTCGCAATGGAGATTAACCACTCAGCCAAATTTCCGTTCATTTTGGTGCAGTATGCACCATACGAAATCGATGGCAGCAGTACAGCGGAGCGAAAGATAAGGACCATTAAACTAAAAACTACTCTAGGCGTACCGGGATCAACTGGGGGATGAATAGGAGGACGCCCACGGCGTTTCTTTGCAGGAGGAGTCAACAGTGAGGTCGCACCGCCGGTGAATGAGGTAAGGGGCTCGTTAACGTCGTTCGGCATTGAGGTTGGATTGGCCTTCCCGGGGATGGAATGGGGGGGTATTGGCACGTCTGGGATTCCAGTGCTGGACTGTGCGCTGGAGGTTGGAGAAGGATGGAACATTTGGGGCCCCGAAGGATAGGGGAAGTTCTGATGTTGGGTACCTGGGACATGTGTATGCAAATCTGATTCTCGAAGAGGTGCGCGCTGGTAGTGCGAAGTGCCATATGGATCTTTGGTATGACCAATTGGGGATTGGTGCTGACGTGGGTCAGCCTGATTCAGTGGTGGGGAGTACTGAACACTCGGCTGAGACACTGAATTGTTCATAGTATGGCCCATTTGCACAGAGTGGTGTAAGGGTATTTGGGAGTGATGTTGTTTGGCCAGTACGTCTGAGGAGTTCTCCATGGCTAAATGCGAAGAATAAATGAAAGAATAAAATGAACGATGACACCTAAGGATATTTCCGGAGTATATATATATATATATATATATATATATATCCATATCCAATCAGAAGACAATGTCTGGAGTAAAGGCCACTCTCAAATTCACAATGTTTGATGGTAAGAAGGCCTCTGCTTTTCTGATGAGTTGACACTGAGTAGTGCAGGAAACAATGTATAAAATTCTTTGTTTCAGAAGGGCCT